GATAGTGGGGAATCTCTTAAAATCATCACTTCTATTAATGGTATCATGATGTCATTAGTCTTTATATTGCAGAAAATACGTGTGTGCTAGGTAGGATTGGATTTTTTTCCACACTACTCCAGGATTAGAGACTAAATTCATATTACACAGCTATGGATTTTTATTACACTTAATATGTACTTGAGTAAGTCCATAATTGGGGCTAGAAAGATGACTCAGCAGTTAACAGCACATATTCTTCCAGAGAACCTAAGTGCAGTTCCCAGCCCCTATATAGGTGACTCACAACCACAAATAACTTCAGTTCCAGGAGATCTAATACCCTCTTGGCCTCTGCCAGCACCCACATACATGTGCACATAAGTTCATGAAGGTACACATTAAAAAAAAAAAATTTTTTTAAGGTCCAGGACTGGAGAGATGGCTCAGCACTGACTGCTCTTGCAGAGGACCCGGGTTAGATTCCCAGCACCCACACGGTGGCTACAAACCGTCCAAAGCCCTCTTCTGACCTCCACAGAATTGCATGACACGGGTGCACTCACATGCATGCAGGCAATACATTCATACATGTAAAATAAAAATAATAAAAATTTTTTTAAATAAAAGGTTGCCGGGCATGATGGCGCACGCCTTTAATCCCAGCACTCGGGAGGCAGAAGGCAGGCGGATCTCTGTGAGTTCAAGGCCAGTCTGGTCTACATAGTGAGTTCCAGGACATCTGGGGCTACAGGGAGACCTTGTCTCAAAAAGACCAAAAAAAAAAAAAAAAAAAGAAAGAAAGAAAGGGTAAGTCCATAAAATTAAGGCAGTGTACATAGTTTTGCCCCTAAGCCTTACAGCAAAAAAAAATTTTTTGGTATGCCTTTATTCTTTGATAATTTCATACATTGTTTTTTGATCATATTCACCACTAAAAAAATTTCTAAAAGGTTTTAGTTCTGATATTTTAATTAGTTATGATAACTGGGATAGTAGGCATCAACAGCTTTTGGGGACTTTTTTTTGTTGATTTTTTGAGACAGGATCTTGCTATTTAAGTGATAGCTCTGGCTAGACTGGAACTTTATGTAGAGCGGGTTAGCATCCAACTCCCACACCTGACTTAACAGGCTTTTTTGTATGTGAATAGTGTGTTTGTGAGTGTACATGTGGAGGCCAGAAGTTGGTGTCTAGTGTCTTCAGTTGTTCTCCACATTATTTTATGTCTCTCAAGGAACCTGGAAGGTCATCAGTTCAGACAAGGGGCTGGCCGGTGAACACCAAGGATCTGCTTGTATCTACCCCTCCCCAGCTCTGGGATTACAGATGTACAGCCTTGCCTGACTTTTGCTTGGGTTCTAGGGATATGAAGTTAGGTCCTAATGTTTGCACAGCAAGCTACTGAAATCTTCCAGACCCCTTAACTTTTTTTTTTTTTTAATTCTGCTGTTGCCTTTTTTTTTACTTTTTAAATTTTATGTGTGTGTGTGTGTTTTGCCTGCATGTATGTATGTACATAATGTCTGTGTGTACCTGTTGCCCATGGGAGCCAGAAGAGGGTATCGGATTGTAATGGACAGTTGTGAGCTGCCATGATGATGCTGGGAACCAAACCCGGGTCCTCTTAAAAGAGCAGCAAATGTTCTTAACAGCTGAGCCATCTTTCTGGACCCTGCTGTTTCCTTTCTTTGGCACAAGTCATACTATTGCTTTAATTTATGTTCAAATGACTCTGTTTTACATAAAAGGCCCGTTTCAGAAATGGCAAATGGGAACAAATGTCTATCTTTGTCTTCAGAGTAAAGGAGCTACTAATATATGTAAAGCAATGGGCATGTTAGTAAATATGCTTAGGTGTTAACATGTTATATTTGCCATAATTATTTATTATTTTTATTTTATATGTATGTGTGTATTGCCTATGTGTAGGTAAGTGCACCTGTGTTGAGCAGTGCCCACGGAGGACAGAAGAGGCTGTTAGATCCCCTGGACCTGGAATTTCAGACAGTTAGCTGCCATGTGGGTGCTGAGATTTGAACCTGTGTCTTCTGCAAGAACAACCAGTGTTCTTAACCACTGAGTATTTGCCGTAATTATAGTGCACATAATGTCCACCACCTTTATTCTCAGCTAAAGTTTTATACTCTAATTGAGAGTATTGTGCTGGAAGTAAGCTTGATTATTTTAAAATTTACTACATTAATTTGGTGTAGGGGATGCATGTTGAGGTCAGAGAACAACCTGTGTGGTTTAGTTCTCTCCCTCTACCATGTGGGTCCAGGGCATCGAACCTAGGTAGTCTTAGCAGCATGAGCCCTTATGCCCTGAGCATCTATCTCACTGGCCCCTAAACATGATTTTTTAAAAAGCCCAGACCTACTATGTTTGGTACTTTTATTCATATAAAAAGATTCAGGCCTGGTATGGGCCACACTTCTGATCCCAGCATTCCTGAGACAGAGGCAGGTGGATCTGTTAGATTGAGACTAGCCTGATCAACATAGAGAATTCCAGATCAGCTAGAGTTAAATGGTGAGACCCTGTCACAAAACAAAACAAAAAATTTTATAAAAAGATTAAATTCCTAAAACACCCTGTACATCAGGGAAATTCAGGCATGGAGGAATTCAGCATGGACCTGGGAAAAGGGAGATAATAGACTCTGAGAGAGACTCAGAGCTATATCCTCGGACTAAGAAATTAAGAAGTTAATTTATTAAAATTCATTGGGATGGGGGTGAGATGGCTCAGCAGGTAAGGGTGCTTGAATTTGATCTCCCAAACTCACATGGTAGAAGCAAACCAATTCCTTTGGGTTTCCTCTGAACTTCACACATGTACCCACACATGTACAAACAAAAAAAATATAACACCCCCCCACCAAGTTTTTTTTGAGGCAGGATTTCACTGTGTAGCTCTGACTATCCTGAAACATTATGCACATCAGGTTGGCAGGTTGGCCTCGAACCCACAGAAATCTATCTGCCTCTGCCTTCCAAGTGCTAGAAGTAAAATGTGTGAGCTATTGGAACTGGAGAGATGGCTCATCAGTTAAGAACACTGACTGCTTTTATAGAGGACTCGGGTTCAATTCCCAGCACCCACATGGCGGCTACAAACCATCCTTGACTCCAATTCCGGGGGGAATCTGAAGCCCTCTTCTGACCTCCACGGCATTGCATGACACAGGTGCACTCAGATACATGCAAACAATGCACTGATACACATAAAACCCTGATAAATGAAATACTTTAAAATAATAAATTTTTTTTTGGTCTTTTTTTGAGACAGGGTCTCCCTGCAGCCCCTGCTGGCCTGGAACTGTGTAGATCAGGCAGGCCTTGAACTCACAGAGATCTGCCTGCCTCTGCCTCCCAAGTGCTGGGACTAGAGGCGTGTGCCACCACGCCTGGCTAATCTTTTTTTTTTTTTTTTTTTTTTTTTAAAGCAGTGACTGCTGTTACAGAGGACCTGGGTTTGATTCCCAGCACCCATATGGCAGCTAGCAACTGTCCATCTGTAATTCCAATTTCAGGGGATCCAATGCCTTTTGACCTCCTAGGGCATTGAGCAACACAGATCACTTACACGCATACACATAAAAATAAGCCAGGCCTGATGGCGAATTTCTTTGATCCCAGCACTTGGGTGGCAGAGGCAGTGAGATTGAGGCCAGCCTGGTCTACAGAATGAGTTCCTGGTAGTGGGGGCTGCAGGGAGACCCTGTCTCAAAAAGACAAAAAATATATATATTTTTTTATTTTTAAATATGAGCCATCGCCGGACGTGGTGGTACATGTCTTTAATCCCAGCACTCGGGAGGCAGAGGCAGGCAGATCTCTGTAAGTTCAAGGGCAGCCTGGTTTACATAGTTCCAGGACAGCTGGAGCTACAGGGAGACCCTGTCTCAAAAAGACAAAAAAAAAAAAAAAAAATGTGAGCCATCATCCTAGCCCTGTTAAGTTGGTTTTTGGAGGGCTGGAGAGATTGCTCAGCAGTCTTGCAGAGGACCTGAGTTAGGTAGTTGTAAGCCTGTAACTCTAGCTCCAGGTGTCCCAATACTATCTCCTAGCCTCCAAGGGTACCCACAGTGGCACACACACATACAAACAAAACTAAAATAATTTTTTTAAGTTAGTGTTCTGACTGAGGAGATGGCTCAGAGGGTAAAAGTGCTTGCTGCATAAGCCAAATGACCCCCAGAAACCATTACACATGTGGTGGCATGCATCTTAAATCCCAGCACTCCTATGGGCAATATGAACTCACTCATAGGCCAATTAGCCCAGAGTATGCAGCAAAAAGTGACCTTGTCTTGACAAGGTGGAAGGTAACAACTTAACTTCTGCAAGTTGTCCTGTGCTTGCCTGCCCTCAAACATACTGTTTTAAAAGTTAAGTTTTTACTTCTAGTTCTGGGACTTACTGAAATCAAGTTTAAAAAGGATTTTCTGGGTGTTGCAGACGAACGTCATTCAGTAAAGTACTTGGAAGGACCTGAATTTGATCCCTAGAACCCACATAAATTAGAAAGTCCAGATCCTGGGAAGTCAGACAGCTGGATCCCTGGGAATTTGGTGGCCGGCCAGCCTAGTTTACTTGGCAAACTCCAGACCAGTGTCTCAAAAAACAAGGTGGGAGCTAACAGCTCAGTAGGTAAAAGGCACTGACAGTCTGCATTAAATCCCTGGAATCCACATGGGAGAGAACAAACTCCCATATATGGTCTTCTGGCCTCCAAACACATGCCATAACATATGTACCCCCACACTCAAACACACAGACAAAATAAATAAATAAATGTTTAAAACCTTTTTTAAAAAAAAGCAAGATGGGTGGCTCCTGAGGAACAACACCCAAGACGTGTCCTCAGCTATTTCTTAGTCATTTGGGGAAAAAAAAACTTTCCAATTAATATATCATGTGCCTCCAACACCTAACCCAGATACCTAGTAATAGCAGATGTGCTCATTAAGAACTGAAAGAATGACTGAATTAACTGTATTGTTCTACTTTAAGGTTAAAAACGACAACTAACACCAACCATGAAAGATCCAAGTCGTAGCAGTACTAGCCCAAGCATCATCAATGAAGATGTGATTATTAACGGTCATTCTCATGAAGATGATAATCCATTTGCAGAGTACATGTGGATGGAAAACGAAGAGGAATTCAACAGACAAGTTAGTTTTATTTACAAGTTTTTTTCATAGGTTCATTCTATCCCTCAAATAATATGTACTTGACGTTGAAATGTGTTTAGCTGGTACTTATATATGCAGAGTGTGGATTTATGTGCTGCCACTCCTATTTTATTTGGCTGCTAATTACTACCAGGCTTTACTGCTCATTGAAGTAAGTTAGGCAGCTTTTTTCAGGGCTCCACCCTGGAGATTCTGATTCAGGAGGATAGGGTGGAGCCTGAGAAACTTTGAATATGGAAACAATATGGAAATCACTGACTTAAACCAATCAGATTGCTATATTACAGTGCAAGTCTATGAGAATTAAGGAATTGGAACAATCAAACCAAACCACAGGTGTTTGGGTCCAAAATTGGGTGTTTTTTTCACCTGAAAGCCTCAATCTGATCAGCCTGAAAAATCTGATACCACTCTTGTCTTTCATGAACTCTCATAAGTTGATAAGTATTTTTGTTTTTTGTTGTTCCTTATTTAGTTTTGATACAGGGTCTCCTCTCCTAGTAGCCCCAGCCAGCCTGGCATTTGCTTTGTAGACCAGGCTGACCTCCATCTCAGAGAGAGCTGCCTGGTTCTGCCTCCTGAGATTAAAGGCATACACTGTCATGCCTGACTTGATAAGTGTTTTTTATTCCCATGTCTCAAACTTTAAGAGATCACCTGCCTCTGCCTCCCAAGTGCTGGGACACTACCACATCCAGCCATGTTTTTTTTAAAGGTTGTATATTCATGGGGAAAATGTACAAGACTAGAAGAGAACATCAGATCCCCTAGAGTTAGAGTTATAGTCAGTTGTGAGCTGCATTATATGTGTGCTAGAAACCAAATTCAGATCCTCTGCAAGAACAGCCAGCAGTCTTAAGCACCGACGATCTCTCCAGCCCTTATTTCTTTTTGTTTGTTTGTTGTTATTGTTGTTACTGTTGTTCTTTTGCAGTGCTGGGTATTGAGCAAAGGTCCACCTTTATACAGGGTCTCCCTGTAGCCCCAGCTAGTCTAGAGCATGCTAGGTACACCAGGCTGGCCTTGATTCACAGAGATCCACCTGCATCTGCCTAATGAGTGCTGGGATTAAAGGCGTGTGCTGCCGTGCCCAGCTTTGCTGGTTTCAATCTGTACCTCTTAGAGATTTTCTTTCTGTCATTGTGGGGATTGAATTAGAGTATACATAGTTTTTAAGGCTTTATGGGTAATTCTAGTGAAGATTCCTCTAAGAGATCACGATCCCTTTGCTACCTTTTTCTTGCTACTCTCAATCAAAAAAACATTATGTGGAAACAAGACCTAGAATTACCCTGAAACAGATCTTCCTAGGTCATAGTAAGCCTTTTTTTTTCTTTAGCACAGAAACAGAGAACATTTCTGATTTTTAAATTTTGGTGTTAGAGATCAAGCACAGGGCCTCATGCAAGCTATGTATATACTCTACCAATGAGCTACACTTTTAGCTCTAATGTATTTGGGGCGGGGGGCCAGGGAGACTCTGCTTTTTAGATGAGGTCTCACTGTAGTTCATCAGAGTGCTGGGATTATAGGTATACACCAGTATACCTCACTGTTTGGGGAGATTTAAGAGATAGGGTCTCATTCTGCCCCAGGCTGCCCTGAACTCATAGCAGTCCTAGCCTCTCAAGTGTTGAGATTATAGGTGTGAACCACCATGGCCAGCCACATTGTGGTTTTAAATGGCTTAGTTTAAGATATTTTAATCCATACCTATGTCTTACCAAATATGCTGTAATTATTCCTTATTTATTGTAACTCCAGATAGAAGAGGAGTTATGGGAAGAAGAATTTATTGAACGCTGTTTCCAAGAAATGCTGGAAGAAGAAGAAGAACATGAGTGGTTTATTCCAGCTCGAGATCTCCCACAAACTATGGACCAAATCCAAGACCAATTTAATGACCTTGTTATCAGTGATGGCTCTTCTCTGGAAGATCTTGTGGTAAAAAGTTATTTTTTATCTTCTTAGACCTTGTCTTTCCCACAATTGGAAAATCCAGCGACCATCTATTTAAGAAGAGTTGCACATTTCTCCCCTTATAGAATTTTTCCTACTTTTGGCGGGGGGCCTTTTTTAGACAGGGTCTCCTTGTAGTGGGGCTGGCCTGGAATTCACTATGTAGACCAGGCTGGTCCTGAACTCACAGAGATCCACCTGCCTCTGCCTCCCAAGAGCTGGGATTAAAGGCATGTGCCACCATGCCCAGCATAAGAATTTTCCTACTTTTAAGAGTGGAAGCAGAGGCCTCCCAGTCTCCCCTATGCTAGGGGCTGGAGAGATGGCTCAGTGATTAGGAGCACTGACTGCTCTTGCAGAGGACCCGGGTTCAATTCCCAGCACCCAGATGGCAGCTACAAACCGTCCTTAACTCCAGTTATGGGGAATCCGAAGCCCTTTTCTGACCTCCGCAGCATTGTATGACATGGGTGCACTCACATACATGCAGGCAATACACTCATACACAAAAATAATAAATTTTTAAAAAAATATTTTTTTAAAAAGTGGAAGCAGGGGCCTCCCAGTCTCCCCTATGCTAAAGAGCAACTCTGGCAACAGCATGCAGTCTTCCAACATTTAACAAGACTTCTTGCTAGTGCTTTTAGTCTTGATGTTACCTTTTAATCATAATGCAGCCCTTGAAATATTTAAATGTCTCAATTTATCCCAAAATATATACAATATTACCATATGACTTGCCTATATGAAAATATCTTGATGAAAAGTTTGCTATTCAGTTTTGATCTAAGCATTTGGTAAAATTTGGAAAATTTAATTGATAACATTTCAGAGATCTCTTAAGGGTTTTCATTGAGATAACTGCGTTAATTTGGAAGGACTTTATAAGCTCTGAGCAGAGAAAAGGACCACAGACCTAGATTCATACTCTTAGTTGTTCTCAGTGTCTCCTCACTGTTAATGTACTTGCAGTAAAGTTTCATCAGCACTATTATAGTAGAGCCTGATGAGTCCTTTACTAAATTTAAGATGAAAGATCTTCTATTTGGGGGTAGAGAGAGTGTTAAGACAGGGTATCATTCTACCACAGGCTGACCTGGAACTCACTATGTAGCCCTGACTGACCTGAAATTTACAGCAATCCTCCTGCCCCAACCTACCAAGTTTTGGGATTATAGATATGAACCACCAATGCCACCACAAGAAATTTCGAAAATTAAAATTTTCTCTAAGTTTAGATATTCACCCTTTTGTCCAAAGGAATTCTATGGAATTTACTCCCTGGATTCTGGAAATTTTTAGTTGTTGTCTGTTCACTGTGCAATCAGCTCTGGAACTGGAGAGATAGCTCAGTGGTTAAGAGCACTGCTCTGCTCTTACAGAAGACCTAGGTTCAGTTCCCAGCACATACGTGGCGGCTAACAGCCATCCATAATTCTAGTTCTAGGGGATCCAATGCCCTCTTCTGACCTCCAAGGGCATTGCATAACATGGGTGCACTTATATACATGTAGGCAGACAATACACTCACACACAAAATTTTTAAAAAATCAGATCCTCTGCTGCATCCCAAACTTGGAGAATCTCTTTTCTAAGCATGGTAATTTTGTAAAAGCATTCCTAAGGAGATGTTTTAGAGCCATCCTGCCCATTGGACATTTGGAAACCAATTTGTGGCTAAAGGACTATATGGAGAACAATGAAATTTACAATGTAGTATAGTCTTTGTTGCAGTAACAGTAACTCAAAAGTCTGTTGGGACATACTTGCTTATGGTTACAGTAGTCATATAAATAATACTGATTACTGGGATGAATAAAGGCCTTTTCCAGGCTTAATGTATAACCTGGATTTTGCATAAATCCATAACATAAAAACTAGTTTGTTTTGACTCAGACTATTTGAGATTACTTTAATCCATTCTTATATTCTCTAGCTGCCAAAATATTATACATTCAAATGCTAAACAGACACAACTGAGCCAATCTCCATCCCAAAACCAAACACTTAAAGTGTAGATTTATTTCCCTTGCAGGAAGGGAGAATATATCCAAGTTATTAATTCAGTGTTCTTTTAATTATGTTTTGGTCTTAAATTAAGTGACCCCTTGCAATTGAATTAAGTGTAAAAGCCTACCAGCATGCCAACATTTAGGCCCTGGAGTCACTGGTTCCCTTTTACCAACTTTCAAACTCAAAATATGGTTGGGGAGAATCTTCAGCTATTTTTCCTATATGTTGACATATATATTTAGGAAAGTATAGAAGTACAGAATAATGTTGGTATAAGTCTCTACAGTGCTTAGGAACTTTGGTCCAATCTTGCCTTTTTTTGAGTTGATGTGAAAATGGAGTCTCAGAGAAGGTGATTCATCCAAGCTTATATAAGAATTTGGAATAGGCAGAGCCAAGATTTTCAACTCAGGTCTTCTAGCTCCCCGTGTAGGTTTTCTTTTCCTGTTATATCCAGTGCCTCCTGTGGGGATTAGAAGACAGCAGTTATAAGAAGAGAACTACAAACCAGTTTTTAATGAGGATCAAAGTATTTTCAGAGCATCAGATACAGTTAACGGAATTCCTTATTCAGTGCTGTTCCTTTAGTTTGTGTGAAGTGAGTGCACTTCTTGATGCTAATTCAGTTCCAGTTTTAGGAACTTGATATAATAGCATATAGAGTTTATTTTTCATTCTCTCTCTGCCACAGTCCAAAGTGTTTTATATTTTTCTAGCAGATATTTTTTACATGTGAATGAATGCTTCTGAAGTATCTACAGCCATCTGTAATGAACTTCCTTTTTTTTATGTACTTATTTTCCAGGTCAAGAGCAATCTGAATCCAAATGCAAAGGAGTTTGTTCCTGGGGTGAAATACTGAAATATTTGAGTAGATGGGGCCCTCTTTCGGTGGATGTAGCACAATTTCCACACTGTGAAGGCAGTATTAGAAGACTTAATTGTAAAAGCTCTCGTCACTGTGTTACACTTATGCATTGCCAAAGTTTTTGTTAGTCTTGCATGCTTAATAAAAGTGCTGAGACTGTTATTAAGTAAAAAGCTGTCAAACATTTACTGAAAGTAGAATTGGCCTATGGCTTCATGTAAAGACAGCAAAGGAAGAAGCACCAGTCAAGTTGTAACAAAGTACCAAATTAGATAAGTCTTAAGTCTTACTGAATTGTCTGTTTGGGGGCTAAACTGGTCCCTTAGGAGTAACCAACACTTCCTGTCTACATTGTAAAAATGAGTAAGTTTGAATTAGGTTATGATTGTTAAGCAGATTTCTCAGTTGCATTTGTCCATCAAAAATCTTTTCTGAAGAAAGTCTGTTAATTTGAAACAATTCATTATAGAAAAATGTCTTAAAAGCTAGTCTTTTTTTCTTATGTTATGTTAGGAATACTGAATTTTCCCAGCATTATACCTGAGGAAGTGTGATTTAAGAACTACATCTTAGGATTCATTGCATCGTAGTCATACTGTGTGAAGTCTTCATTTAGGACCGACACTAGCCCATAATCCAATTGAAGTACTAAAGAGATTGTAACATGATTTGAGAGGTGCTCTTCCTTGCTTTGTTAACCATCATGACAATAGTCTGCAGCACAACTTTTCTTTTAACAAAGCTAGAACAGTTTTGGCTTCTTAAACTTCATATTTAGGTAGGTTAAGCTGCCATACGTGTTCAGTGTGAATAGTGTTTAAGTTGAAAATATTGTAAAAAAATTATATTTTTTCAAAAATATTTAAAAAAATAAATAATAGTAGAACTGAGCTGATGAGTGTGTTTATTGGTACAAGACTGTAAACTCTCCAGTGATGATACTTTAGTGTAGACCTAGTACAGGTCAACCCTGTTGGTAAAATGTGCTGAGCAGAGGGTTTTAAAATCCATAGATCCACCGGTGCGTGGTGGCACACACCTTTGATCCCAGCACTTGGGAGGCAGAGGCAGGTGGATCTCTTGAGTTCAAGGCTGGCCTGGTCTACATAGTGAGTTCCAGGACAGCTGGGGCTACAGGGAGACCTGTCTCAAAAAAGACAAAAAAAAAAGCAGATCCACAATATCAGTATGTTACTGTGCAAGTTGCAAGTATCCACAGTACAGCAGTGAAATAATGCCCACGTTTTTTTTTTTTTTTTTTTTCTTTTTGAGACAGGGTCTGCCTGTAGTTGCAGCTGGCCTGGAACTCACTATGTAGATCAGGCTGACCGCAACCTCACAGAATTCCACCTGCTTCTATCTTTGATGCCTTTGAGTGCTGGGATTAAAGGCACACACACTGTCCTTGCTTTTTGTTGCCCGAGACTGTGGTATCAGAGCAACAACCTTAGATAACTGCGTTATAAAAACAATGGCTGTGTTGGGGATGTTGCTCAGGGGTAGAATACTTGCTTAAGTATGTTAAGGCCATGGACTTTTCTTAGATATCATACGGCTGAAGACTAAGAAGGCCATGTAGTCATGTCATTCCTTTTGAAACAGGGTATTGCTACATAACCCAGATTGGCTTTGAACTACAGACTTAGCCTCCTGAGTACTGGGGTACCAGTACTATCCCTGCTCCTATATCATTGTTTCTGGCTCACATTCTTTGTAGAGGGAATGGAATTTGGGGGGGGGGTTGGTTGGTTTTTGGTGGTGGTTGTACTGTTTTATGCATGACAGGCCACCATTCTATTCACAGGTATACACCCCCCAGGCCCAATTAGGGTCTTTTTATTTTTTATTTTTTCCTGTAGCTCAGGGGCACTGAACTCACCACATTCTCACTGTCTCAACCTCCTAGATAACTAATGCTGAGATTACAAGTGTGAGCCACTGTGCCTAGCAAGGACTTTTTTTTTTTTCCCAAGACAAAAGGTCTCAAATATTTTAAGAAACTGCAAAAGATAATCATGCTTCTCTCTCCCACTCTTATCCCCCAGGCTAGGAACTGAATCCATGGCCTCACACATGCTAAGCACATATTTTTCCACAAATCTATATTCCCAGTAAGACAATCGTGCTTGATACTTATTCTTTTTGAAGACTTAACACAGTCCTCTTTGTTAACAGCTTAGAATCACACATACCACTGAGTCTGGCCTCAATCTCATGATCCTCCTGCCTTTACCCCCTAAAGCTAGTACTACAGGCATAAGCCACCATGCCCTAGTGCTCAACCAGAGAGCCAGGTATCTGCATTCCAGGCAGAAGTGGCCACACATTTTGAAGCCCTAGGAACAAATCTTTAGAGAATTAGAGGGGAACTGAAGTCATTTCAGATTATTTGAATTTTATGGCCACTAAAATTGAAACAATGTATACACATGGGGAGCATTTTTTTCCTGTTTATTAGTGTTTTCAACCTTTTCCACATCAGAAGTATTATCCAGGTGTGATAAAGCTCAACTAAATTTCTGCACTCAAAAAAGGCTACCATAGAAGCATCAAATTTGAGACATATTTGCCTACATACTGAGCTGTAGGCCATCTTGGACTACAGAGTGAAAACCTGTCACAAAAAGAAAACGTATATAGCATACAGGAATGCAAGGAATAAGGCTTCAATTATAGGCTTCAATTGGCCTAGATTCTGCCTCTACTGGGAGGATCAATATTTTAATATATTTGTAACCACTACTAGCCTACAACAGTTGAGAATTTTTCTTTCCAATTTTTAAAATACTTATTTTTCAGGGCTGGAGAGATGACTCAGCAGTTAAGAACACTGAATGTTCTTGCAGAAGACCTGGGTTTGAATCCCAGCACCCATATGGAAGCTAACAACTGTCCGTAACTCCAGTTCTCGGGGATCCAACATGCAGGCAATGCATGTATACACATAAAATAATAAATAAAAAAGTATGGTGGTGCATGCCTTTAATCCCAGCACTTGGGAGGCAGAAGTAGGTGGATCACTGTGAATTTGAGGCCAGCTTGGTCTATATAGCAAGTTCTAGTCCAGCTGTGGGGCTACAGAGAGACCCTGTCTCAAAAAGACTAAAAAAATACATTTTTTTTTTTATGTGCATGAGTGTTTTGCATGTATAAAAGTGCACCACATGCATGCAGTGCCTACAAAGGTCAGAAGAAAGTGTTGGATCCCCTGGAACTGGAGTTATTGATGGTTTGCTAGAAACTGAACTGGGTCCTCTGCAAGAACAGCCAGTGCTCTTAACTGCTGAACCATCTTTCAAGCCTCAACAGTTGGGAATTTCTCTCACTATAAAATGGCTAAGGAATTCAACTCAGAATCTATATATTGACATTTACTCATTCTACTTTGCCCTTGAAGAAACTCAAATAGGTCACAAAAATGAAAATGTGTAATTTGGTTTTCCTTTTGTTGAAACAGATACTTGATTATTTATCCATTCCACAAGAGACATTGATACATCCTACCTTTCTGAGAAGTAATGTTTCAGACCTTGGTGCACACAGATCCAGTATCTGGCTTTTCTGGGGTATCTTCTGGAACTGGAGGCTGATTTTTTGGTTTTGTGGAAAATCCTCTGAAGACTGGGCAGATAGGAATGTATCTCAGAAAAGCAATCTTTTTTACAGTGCTCATCCCAAAGGGGAAATCATAGCTCTTCAGACTGGCAGATGTCTCACTGTTGGCATGGGCTCCAGCTTTCCACTGTATCAGGCCTCGTTCCTCTGGGCTCCCTGAAAGAAGACAAGTTGGGTATTTGTGAGGGTCCCAACCTTCTGCTACTTCCAAATGGGGTTTTGTTTGTATTGCCGAGAATAGAACCCATGGCCTTCTGCATTGCTAGATGAGCACTGTACTACTATGAATTCATTATTTGCCAGAGTTCTAGAAACCCTAAAGAATAGAAGTTAATACTATGTAACTACAGTATCAGGCTCTGTGCTAAGTACTTTTATTTTTTCAAAACAGCCCCAGGAGGTATATAGGCATTGCTAAACAGAATTTTAAGATGAGGAGACAGAAAGGCTGAGGAATTCTAGTTTACATTTGTGAGCTTGGGACCAGAGTATGCTGGGTTCATTTGTGTGTACATGATTGTACATGCACATGGCACAGTGTGAGTGTGGATGTCAGTGGATAATCCATGGGAGTCACTTTCTACAATGTGGGTCCTGGGAATTGATTTCAGGTCATCAAGCATAACAAGTGCCTTTACCTAACACTGAGCCATCTCACCAGCCCAAGTACATGTATCTTGAAACACTTTATCAGTATTAATATTATGATTCCACATTTGGAAAATAAGCTCTTGTTTTTGTAGTATGAACCTCCAAAAGACAAGCTAAGCAAAATCTTTAATTGGGATAGAAGTGCACCAAAAAAATCTTTATAACTAAAAGTTTCCCATAGGGGAAGAACCCAAGACATCACAGGTTTTCAAGAGGGCTTGAGCTGAAGTATTACATATCGAGCTGAAGGACTGAGGGAAGCCAAGGCTGAGAATAACCCATGAGTATTGTGAATCAAATGTGTCTCAAAATTTCAGTGGGAGGGCTAGGGGCTCAGGAAAGACTGCCTAGGGGAGGAGCTGTTTGAACTAGGCCAGGCTATGCAAAGAACCAAATGGCCAGAGAGGAAGGGAAGAGCTGTAGGCTTGCACAGGGCCATGGTCCTAATGTCCACTTAGCCTCTCCCACCACAGCTACAGCACAATAGCCTGCCTAGCCCAGAGCTGCTTCTCACTAACAAGCTTGTGCTTTTCCTATTTTGCTGCTTCTAAGACCCTGGGCTTCCTTATCCCAGAGGCCCTACAGATGACTCCAGCCTAGTCTCACTAATCTCATTGCTTACTTAAACCCAGTTTTACTAACCATTTTGTGGCAGGAACTCCTCAAAACAGTTTTGCATATCCTCCTCAGTTTGATTCAGGGGCAAGCTGGTAAAATACACCAACTTTTCCTGAACTATACTGACTGTCCTCTAAAATGGGCTGTGGATAGGTATAAGCCAGGCATGGTGATCCATGCTTATAATCTGAACACTGAGCAGTTAAAGACAAGAGAACAGTGAATACAAGGCCAGTCTAAGCAATAACTTGTCTCAAAAAATTGTAAATGTATAATGGCAAGTTACAGGCTGGAGAAAGCTGAGCTCTTCCATAGTTACAGGCTAGGTTCTGAGCCAGGAAGTCCCAAGTCCTAAGTCCTAAGGCTTAACCACTCTGAGCTTTCTATTTCTCATCACTGTACATTGAAGGACTATTGAAGAATACTTGACCTCACACACATGATCCCTCAAGGGGATGATTGCTAGGACTCAGTTGGCTTGAAGGATAAGGGTATGGGGGACCCAGCAAGGCCTCTACTTAACAGGAAGCTATTAGTGACATCTGTTTTGTGGTTTGTTTTTTTGTTTTTTGAAACGGTCTCACTATGTAGCCCTGACTGGCTTCAAACTAGAGATCTACATGCCTTTCCCTCCCTAGTGCTGGGATTAGAGGTAGGTGCCACCCTGTCCAGCTTTTTTTTTTTTTTTTTTTTTTTTTTTATCGGGTCTCGATAAAACCTTACTATGTAGCTCTGGCTGGCCTAGAACTTATTACGTAGACCAGGCTGGACTTTGAATTCAGGGGTATCTGCCTACCTCTGCCTCTGAGTGCTGGGATTAAAAGTGTGTGCCACCACACCTGGCTATCCCCA